CGTCGATGTCATAAAAATTAATAATGGAGTGAATAAAAAGACATTTTTCTACTTTTTCCATGTAAAAATTAGTTCATAACTTATTTCAATTTTAATAACTTCAAAGGAGAAGAATTCAGTCTTCAAAATAATATATTCGTTATTACTGACAAAAGTGGAGAGGCTATTTTTGTGTTGTTTAAGAAATTTCTACTAATTTGCATTTCCATGTGAAATACACAACCAGCCTCAGGCATAAGCAACAAGATCTTGCAATTATTGTAGGAGTTTAAAATTATTTTAAATATATTCTTTACAGTAAAGTGAGACTCCGAATCCATAGATGCATTAAAGACCCTCTACTCCGAGGAAAAATCAAAAAATATCGTCAAATTGGTTATCCAAAATTAAATGAAAATTCGGATTTACTGTGGTTAACAGTACATGTATACAATTGAAAAACGTTGCGGACACTTGACAATTCCGTTTATTCTCTCGCCTAACTATGACCTGTACTATTAGCTTGGTGTCCAAAGTTTTCAATTGATCTGCACTTTATCTCTTGTCGTCAACTTCGAAGTACAAATGACCTGACAACCCAACGAATCAAGCCACTGCTCAAAGCATCGATCGTTTTGTTTAACCTTCCAAGAGGTTTCCAGTCAGCTAAAGTGAGCAAGACAAATGAAAAGCATCAAAGTGTGCATTACTCAAGGGAGTGAACGATTTAATAACTGCTCGTGCTTACCACAACTTTTTACGTTGACTGCCTCTACTTTGATTTCGTGAAATCTTGCCTCGTTATGGCAGTTGATTGCGTTTCGAGTCCGTGCAAGACCGGTTGAAACGCTAAAAACTCGACCGGATTGCCTCTATCGGATACCCGCCCGACCGGTTCTCGTGAAGAAATGAGATCCAGTTTGGTTGCGCTACAGCCTCGTTAAAAGTAGTATAAAGAGCCAAGTGAGCAAATATGGAGGAACCCGAGACAGAGGCCACTCTAGACGAGGCTGAGGTGGATGATTTTGAGGATGAAGACAACGAGCTCGAGCAGGAGGACTTGTATTCGGAGGACGTCATTACAAGCGAAAGTTGGACAGACAAGGTTGACTCGACCGAAACAAGGACAGACACTCTGTCTTCCGAGACAGACGAAAAGACACCAGTCCACCATCTACGAGTCGACCTTTCCGGGCAGGGCCTGAACTGTGTGCCATCAACATTGTTCCAACGTGAGTTTAACGTTGACCTGGGCAGATTATAAGCAGCCGACTAATACATGTTTCATTGCCAACAACAAAATTATTCTCTTTTTGCTATCTACAATTCATAACCGTGTGGTGGATGAAGGTGCAACATAGATTGCTGCATTTGGGTTGAAGTTCAACCCTTAGGCTTTCCACACGCTCGTGTGGAATCAGCTCCCTTTGCTCAGGCTTAGCACAAGAATAAAAAAACCAAA